AATGTCGACAATGCGGATACGTCTCTCAACCATCCTAGGTCAGGTACTTTAGCAGTCAATTTACTAAATGAAGGCGCTTCACTTTAGCCGATCTGTTCCCGCCTATCATCAGAATTTTCAATCTGAAATATCTTATTAACACAAATTGCATTTGATAATTAATGATACCTCAGAGTTCTAAGATACATAGTTCATAATTTTATTCAACCCTTTAAAGACTCGATTTCTTCTAAATAATATATAAAATTTCAGTTCGTACCTCGCAGGAAACACATTACCTCTTCACTTAAAAAATAACCCGCTTAATGCTGTTTACGGAAGTTTTCGCTGTTTTATGTGAGAACCATAAGAAGAAACACAAAAATACAATTCGTGGGCAGAATGTAGAAATTTAGTGTGCTAAATCAGGAGGTATATATAGTAACCACCGGGGTTTAAAAGCTTTAATTAATATGTATTATCTATAAAATTGAACTATCAAATCAAATCTGTCTTAACGTTCATCTGAATTTTATCAACTGCACAAAATAACGGTAGAAGTCGACGTAACCGTGAAGAGGACAATACTAAAACGGATTGCAAGTAAATAGGGTGAGATCGCGTGGGCTGGATTCATCTGACTCAGGATAGGGTCCAGTGATGGGCTGTTGTGAACATGGTAATGAATTTTCGAATTTATTGACAAGAAATCTGCTTCATGGAGTTCGTTATACTCGTAATGTGCGTTGCTCGACGGTCAAGTTGGTGTAGCCGTAAAACTCTACATTTGTATTTGGGAGGTCCTCCGTTCGTATTTTAACTGGGTTGCCCGACATATTAATCAATTCTTTTGTACGTTCATAGCTTTCTGGAAGATTACACGTGGAGTGCCTTGATATAGGTTTTCACTGCTTCTTTCCTTGCCGTATAGTCATAATTTTTTTTTCCAGTCCCTATCCACACTATGCAAATATTTCAGTGACTATTGTAGCGTTAGGTAATCTATGAGATAGGCTATCAAATCCCTTGTAACCTAATCGGAGCGGCCGCGCCATAGTTCAAGCTGTTAGTCGCTGGCTTCCCACTGCGGCGGCCCGGGTTCGATCCCGGGTCTGGTCAAGTGGGGTTTGTGGTGGACAAAGTGGCGCTGGGGCAGGTTTTCTCAGAGTACTTCGGTTTCCCCTGCCAATCTTCATTCTACCAATTGCTCCACAATCACCCTCACCTATCATCTGGGGCTGGTACAATAGGCCAGAAGTGGCCGCAGTATAAGGGACTTAGTCCCACACCACTAGCATTAAAAAAACCCTAATCGGCTCTTACAGTATATTCCGTTTGAAATTTAAATATTTGCGGTACAGCCTCTCGTAAATGTGTATATTGTACGTAGTACACAGCACATAAATCCGTCATTAGATTGAACACAGTCAACCTTTTTATTTCTTTAGGAAATTTCCCTTAAATTTGCAGAACATGTTTCACGTACTCATTGCTCTGTGATTACTGCTGTACCAGTGACAATACTGAATCTCACCATTTCACTTTGCGAAATTTACATGAATAATAATGATTTTTTAATTTAAATTTAAGTTACAAGGAATGCTACATCCCCGATTTAATTATAACATTCAGATTATCAAGTTCAAAAGCCGTTTATGAGACTCTACAATATAAAACACTAATATAATGTATGAATTGTTTTATTTATATTACACAGTAGCGTACTTGGTTGAGACATTACGCTACAAGGCGGAAGGTCGCTAGTTCCATTCCCAATGAGGTTATTAGATTTTTCATTTGAACTAATACTTCCAGCCAGCCCTGAGTTCAACTCGGTAAGCACCAGGAATCTTCCTGGGGGTAAAGGATGGCCGGTACTTAAGGCTGACAACCTCACCGCCATCTGCGATCCGATTATCTAGAAAATGTGGGAGACTCGACGTCTCACAACCCTATGGGTCTTCACGACTTGTTACAGGGATAACTTAATTAATGAATATGACTAAAATTACTTAATTTATTTGGAGAACCAATACACGTTTAAAATACATCTTTTAATATGGAGTAACTGCGAACTAATTCGGACAAAAGTGTGACACAAAGGAATAGACATATACTTCATACATCCTAGTGATACGAATATATTATCGGAATATATGGGCATGAAACATTAAATGGGCTTAAGACTCGATAGGGGATTGGGTAGTAACACATGAGTCAGGTTTATGCGACCTGAATGACTCTCTTCTCTAGTACTTTACTAGACGTTTTGAAACCTATAGAGACAGCTATTTAGAAGGAATTTTATGAGTTGAAATCTAATCTGAAGTATTTCTTACGATATTGGCCTAAGAGCGTTTTGCTAATACCGTTCTTGTAGAGAAGGAAGTATTGAAGTTCACTGGTATACAAGCTTGCTGACATGTACGTAATAGTGCTGTCAATATAGAAGCGACTTCTCTCTGCTTCTGTGAGATTCGATGCACTTCGATGATTAAATCTCCATCAGATATATTAAATCATTTTAAGAAGTAGCTACCGTACAGGAGAGATTGATTTCGAGTTCCTAGAAATGGCACGCTTTGTCACAATAACGTAAATTCTAAAAGCAACTGTAAAGGATAAAAATTATTCTTTTCAAAAGCAATTTCCACTACTTCTTAAATCTGACACAGATAAATAAAAAATATGCATTGGATCAATTTGTCTCCTAAATCGTAAATTGTAAATTGTGGCGGGAAGAAAGGAATTTGATAGAGGCTATTTAAACTTACCTGCCTCTTATAAAAATATAAAGCAGGAATTCTGATATTGAAATATATTTACAAGAATTTTGTTCTCGAAAAAGTTCGTTGGGTAAGAACTGGAACTTAGTTCCGATGTTCCATATGAAATACTGAGTTACTGGATATTGACTACAGGGTGTTTAAGATAAGGCGACAATAATATCAGTTTCTGAAATGTACGAGACAGGAGTCAGTGCGAATGCTAAATATTTTTACACTGCTTTGTGTACTGTTATAAGCCAAAATAAATTTAAATAATTCATCAACGTTCCATCAATATTACAGCGTGAGAGGCTGTTTACTTGCTTAATTTAACACAATTGAAAACATGACATATTTAGATATCAGAATGTCATTATCAGACATAGTAGACATCGGTACAGTGATAAGGTTTCTTTTTGACAAGACTATACATAAATTATAAAATTTTATACCGTGTCGAGTAAAGTAAGTGAAGTAAAAACGTGTTTTGTTGTAGACCATGTTCTAATAATTCCTGTATGCAATTCAAGATTTGTAATTTTTCTAGATCAGGTATAAAACTTTGTAACTTATCAAAACATACAACTGTTATCAAGGCAAAGGTAAAACATATCTTCGTTTATATAGATTGTACTTGAATTTGGAACAACCTGAAATCCTTGAATTTCACAAAAACATTTTTGAATCTTAGGTTGCATCACAACAAGTTATTACCTCGTTTATTTTACTAAGCACAATTTAATTTCTTAGAATAGTTATATGTACAGTCAAGTTTAAAAATCGCTGAGGAAGTTTAGTAACATAATGTCTGAACAAACGCATCTGAGCATGACATTGTGATATAAAAATACGTCGGATTATCATTTGCATTAAAATAAATAAACAAATAAATAACACGTGACATTGCAATTTGACTAAGTTCCTGTGAGTTGTTTAAATGTTTTTTAAACATTTTTCTTTTAAATAGAGATTTCACTTTATGCACTCGGCACAAAGCTACATTTTCTCTCTTTCTCGCTCGGTTTCTGTGTGTATTGGCGCTGGCTGTGTTTCCAAGCAGCAGAAGTTGATTCTGCCTTTCTTGCTTTGTCACAAGGGTCGTTTGTATAACATTTCCCTCTCTACTGTCAATATTGGCTCGGATCAGGCATCATAACCCACTCTTCCCTTCGACGGTCTATTGTTTTAAAACCTATATACTGAGCATTCACCCACCCTACTTACTTCGAACTTGAAGATGGAGGCAGCACGACCTCCGAAACACTGGCAACACCACTCACATTCACATGACGCAAGGACCCAATGGCAAAATCAGCCTAAATATTTCATGGCAATGGAAGCTTGAGATAATTAAGTAATACAGGCCTGTAGAATCTGCATCTCCCTGGGATAAACTGAGACTTTCGAAAGAATAACTTTTCAATCTGCGAGAACTTTGGAAACGACTTGTATAAGAATCGTTCTTGTGCATGAAATATTTTACAAGCCTGGCTGTAGTAGGCTAGGGGTGACACAAACATATTCATACATGTGAGACAGCCTGTATAACTGCAGTTCTCTTAAGCTGTGAACGTAAAAACACGTAATATTTACCCCTGTGCTTATCTGAGCACCACGCTATGATGAGTGTGGGGGGGGGGGATGTATAGCGTCACACTTTCTTTCTTCGGGAAACAGATGAGGTTTAGGGATCAGACTGACACCCCGGCCGATTTATCCCGTGAAAGAAAATCCCCGTACCCTTTGGGTGGGAGGCTGAATGTGTCCTAAGGCCGGTTTGCATCCTCTTTACCGGTAATCGAACTCTGGTTGCTTGACTCTTCAGCCTGTAACCTACTCCGTATACAGAGTCAGTTCTTCTGGCTACAAAGCTATGACCTTACTTGTAAGATTTGATATTTTCATGGCGGTGAGTATGTATAACGGCGTCTTCTGGGATGTGGAGCCGTGTAGATCCTGTGTTAACCGACGTTTCGCAGGAACATTTCGCTGCAGCCACCTGCTCACCCTGGTTCCTTGCTCGCGGATTTTTATATCCTGAAGATGGAAGCGATAAATTCCTCCGAAACGTCGTTTAACACAATATCTACACGGTACCACATCACATAAGATGGTATTCTTTATTATGTTACGTGTTTCGACCTACTATTTCTCCTTAGTTCTATTTCTGGATTACGACACAATTCACTGATATAGAATGCAGCAGAAGAGTTACACAGCACAAAAGAATAAATTATGTTAATGACAACAAACCTGTGGTATAGGAGCGTCGTATTGCTGTAAGTGCCCCAACATCCAGGGCAGAGAGTTCCAAGCCACACGACTTCTCTCAGTCAAGTGCTGGTAGACCTGTCGTCAGACTCAACACCCAGATTGATAGGCTCCGTTGTCTCGTCTCGGAACTGTAAACAGGTCGGCTTAATTCCATATCAGTAACGTCACTGCGAAACAAGGGAAGTCAGACATTTGTATTCATGTGCTATTTAACGAGAGTCTCACAACGTGAGCAGAGGACTGTACTGAACTGGATCTTGGAGACGTTAGTTTTGACTGTGTAAAGTGGACTGAATTTGCTCAAGAGGGGATCCAGCGGCTGGTTTCTTTGTGTTCGTGATTATGAATGTTTGGGTTATATGGAAAGGAATTACCGAGCCTACCTTAACTGTATCCTGGAGGTGTTCAGTTCGAATATGCTATTCTGACTGATGGTTTTGGTGATTTTTCTCAGTATTTCGAGACAAATGCCGGTTTAGTACCTCGATTAAGGACACATCCGCTTCCTTCAAAATCCTTTCCAATTTATCATTCATTTATCGTCCTTCAGTTCGACACAACATAGCAAAGTTACCTCAGGGAGTCGTGAAACAGAAACACAAGAAACAAAACAAATGAAATTCAAGGAGTAGCTATTTTTTCTTTTTTATTCTCTTAGTGGGGGACGGAGTCCAACGAGTCCACTCGGCACGGCGGCCACTGATTGGCCTATTGTAGCCTGCCCGGGTCATTATGATTATGGAGAATTTGGTGGAATGAAGATTGGCAGGGGAAACCGAAGTACTCGGAGAAAGCCCGCCCCAGCGCCACTTTGTCCACCACAAATCCCACTTGACCAGACCCGGGATCGAGCCCGGGCCGCCGTGGTGGGAAGCCAGCCACTAACCGCTTGAGCTATGGCGCGGCCTTGAGCACCTAAATAACTCTGAATTGCTTCTGTACGATGAGGCTAAGTTGTTCTTGCTTTCGAATCTCTTCGTTGCAACACAGTAAAAACGTTATTTAAGGATATAGTGATATTAAAGATTTAATGTATGTTTGTCGCAATTCGGACAGCCTATGAACAAAGAACTGTCATACGGGATGCCTTGTTGAACTCATAAAATTCTTTATCCTTACTGTTTATACACCGTCTAAGGCATGAACTGCCTTCGCTCGCTCAAACGGTGGGAGCATGGGTTCGAATCCCACTCGAGGCATGGATGTCTTTGTGCATATATTCGAATCACACTCGAGGCATGGATGTCTGTGCGTATATTCTGTGTTTGTGTTGCTCTGTGTTCATAATTTTATTCAACCCTTTAAAGACTCGATTTCTTCTAAATAATATATAAAATTTCAGTTCGTACCTCGCAGGAAACACATTACCTCTTCACTTAAAAAATAATCCGCTTAATGCTGTTTACGGAAGTTTTCGCTGTTTTATGTGAGAACCATAAGAAGAAACACAAAAATACAATTCGTGGGCAGAATGTAGAAATTTAGTGTGCTAAATCAGGAGGTATATATAGTAACCATCGGTGTCTAAAGGCTTGAATTAATATGTATTATCTATAAAATTGAACTATCAAATCAAATAATGTCTTAACGTTCATCTGAATTTTATCAACTGCACAAAATAATGGTAGAAGCCGACGTAACCGTGAAGAGGACAATACTAAAACGGATTGCAAGTAAATAGGGTGAGATCGCGTGGGCTGGATTCATCTGACTCAGGATAGGGTCCAGTGATGGGCTGTTGTGAACATGGTAATGAATTTTCGAATTTATTGACAAGAAATCTGCTTCATGGAGTTCGTTATACTCGTAATGTGCGTTGCTCGACGGTCAAGTTGGTGTAGCCGTAAAACTCTACATTTGTATTTGGGAGGTCCTCCGTTCGTATTTTAACTGGTTTGCCCGACATATTAATCAATTCTTTTGTACGTTCATAGCTTTCTGGAAGATTACACGTGGAGTGCCTTGATATAGGTTTTCACTGCTTCTTTCCTTGCCGTATAGTCATAATTTTTCTCCAGCCCCTATCCACACTATGCAAATATTTCAGTGACTATTGTAGCATTAGGTAATCTATGAGACAGGCTATCAAATCCCTTGTAATCTAATCGGAGTAGGAGAAATGGGTTGTTTATTTTACAACGCTGTCAGTATCTCACACTGTATAACGTCCAGTGGTAGGATGATAATGAATGATGAATTGGGAGGGGTTTGGGAGTGGTGGTCAGAGGCTAATCGAACCAATATCCCAGCATTTACATGAAGCGACTAAGGAAACTCCGAAACAATAATGATAGAAAGTGTTCCGGCTGAGGTTCGAACCTTGTTCCTGAGGAATGTAAGTATAGAATGTTACCGCTCCACCAGTCCACTCAGTAACACACATAGGGCACATGGGAAAGCTATATATAATATTACTCTAAAAGCCTGTAGTGATGAGAGTGTTTGCAAGGTCTGGGTGTAGATGTAGAATTATATTACAACTATTTCTTAAGGAAGAAGACTTCGAATTTTTGGGCTGGATTCCACTGGCCAAGGACATAGCCCAATGACAGTGTTAAATACAGAATTTAAAAGAATATAACACAAGATTCTAAACATTAAAAGTTAAAAAGGTAAAGTTTTCCCTGGGCTTAACTAATTGAGCACTATTCCATGAAGGCGCATGGGGTAGATGTATAGATCCACATTTTCTTGAGCTCAGTACTCGTTGGAGGTGAGTGGTCAGCTTAACGCCCCGGCCGCTTTACCTCCGGTACCCACTGGATAGGAGGTTGGATGGACCCCAGAGCCAGTCTGGACGACGTGGGGAACAGAAAATCCTTGACCCTACCGGTACTAGAAATCTGACCCCTCTGTCGTCTAGCCGGTAGCCAGTCGCTATGCCGACTACGCTGACATTAATTTTCAAAATATCCAGCAAGTGACATCCTGCAATGTACTTGGCAGTTCCATTTTCGTCGTCTTTTATAAGAATTACAGTCATCTGCATTACCGATACAGTTATTTCATAATCTCTTAAACTGTGAAGTGGCGCCTCTTAGTAGTGATCGTTCAAACTACGTCAAGGAATGTTTCGTATAATGTGGCGTCCTCCAACGGAGAAAGTGGGAACATTTACGTTACGATTCCTATAAATCAGATAAGCAACCACGAGTAGGAGAGAAATCTTTAAGATTACTAAGGACAGAACTGAGAAATTGCGTCATGCTTGTTTCGACCACGAACTTTTGTTCTGAGAGAACACTGGCAGGTGAGTATTTTTAATGTGTGATCTGGATGATAATAACAATCGTGGTTGATTTTAGTGTTCGCTTCACGTGAGCTTTCAAGGCATCGCGAAAAATCTGATAATACACGAGTGTGTGTAGTAATTTCTACCAAATGGGTCGCTTTCTTCATGCACAGATTAAGTAGTGGATTGCAGTGATTAACTAACGAACTCGACGGAGCGCTGTCCTTCTTGTGAAGCTGACGTAATTTATTTGAAGAGGTTTTATGTTGCGTCATCATCAGACAGGGCTTTAGGTTACTACGTCATCATTAAACTATTACCAGATTCATGCAAACCAATATCTCCATACCAGAGATTTTTTGAACACAGGACTTTTCTTCTGCAAGGTCGCATAAAGAAATTATGACGTGAAGAAAGTCGTCTTCTGGGTTTGGGCACCCAGAGGCCTACTATTACAACAGCCAACGCTTGATCCCTATCTTGAGCTATGTGCATCCAATCCACAACCTCCCATCCTCTTTCCTTATTATACACTTTAATATTATTCTCCCAATCCGAAGGTCGCGGGTTCAAGTCCCGATGAGGTCACTGGATTTTTTTTTCAATTGATCTAATCCTTCCAGCCGCAATATGGCCCTGGGTTCGACTCAGCCTCTAACAGAAATGAGTACCAGGAATTAATTGAATAATTTTCCTGGGGAGGCTGACAACCTTACCGCCATCTGTAAGCCGATTGTCTAGATAACGTGGGACCCTCAACGTCTCAAAACCCTATGGATCTTCACGGCCTCTTACAGGGATAGCTTTACTTTACTTTTTTATGCTTACATCTCCGAAGTGGCCTCTTTCCTTCTGCTTTTCAGCTATAATAGCGCATGCATCTCTCATGTCTCCAGTGCGTGTTACTTTCCCCACCACCTCACCCTCCTTGACCGAACGGACGGTAAAGGACTCGACTTGTATTCGGGAGGTATTCAGTTCGAATATCGATCGGGACACGAGCTACCCTGACAGCTTTTTGTTAATTCGAACCGACTTGTGTGCCCGAAACCCAATATGGAAAATGTAACAAGATGATGGGCAGGAATTTCGTATCTTCATCTAATATTATTAGGATTATGAAATCAAAGATGATAAGAACAGTAAATAACGTAGAAAGTTAAATGAGGGATGTCAAATACAAAATACGTATTAATCAGAAAATCTGAAGGCAAAACTAGTTAACTTCGTGAATTAACTGACTTCACGCAGTTGAGCCCTTCTTGAGAAGCCGCGAATTTTGTGAATACTCAAGAACTTCCCAGGATTTTTTGGAACCGGAAGGTTCATTATCGTGTCCACAAGAGTCCTCCACTGATCCCTATACTGATCAAGATTGATCCAATCCATACCATCCCATCCATTTTATTATAACGGATTTGCTCAAAGCGTTTCTAGGTAACAGCTTGATAAACACGTTCCAACGTGCAACAATGGAAGATGTGTCTCAGTTGACGAATGTTATAGCTCGTTGCTAGGCAACAGTCAGCGTGCCAATAAACTCACTGGATAGGAGTCACGTGACTTGTGTTTTCTGTGTTGTCCGTGCTGAGCCGATATAACGAAGATTTTTATAGCTTAGATTAGTGCAGAGAACAGTGAAATGCAGAGAAGAGTCCAAGAATTTTTAGTTGATTTCCGAGGTTCCAGGATGATTGAACAAGAAATGACAAGAAGACTCCATAGTGATTTGAAGTGCTAGTTTCCGTGTTGAGATCCGTTGCTAGGGGACGACTTGTGGAAACTGAGAACGCTAGTGCGTGTGCAACGGTAAACTGTAAATTGTGTAAATCAGCGATAACGCTGTATTAAGTGTGATTAAGAGAACTTGTAACCGT